AGGAGACTCAATGATGGTCAAAATATTTGTCAAGTCACATCTATGCTTTTTCCTCTTACGCATTGAGATGGAAAACAAACACATCTTAGATGTTTTAGACATGGCTCATCAGCCTCCATCCACATCATCCTCTGATTTGAGTGAGTGACCCTGTGTTTTCACCAGGGTGTGCAAGCTGCCATATAAAACACAGGACACAAACTCATTTTATACAGCCAAATCTTTTATTTGTATCAGATTGCAAGAAAAACAAAAAGACACTAGTTCTTGTAGCCACGGCTGGCTCTGCGACCACGAGCTCTCTCGAACTTCCTGCCCTTGGAGCGGATGTAGGGCCTGGAAAAAAAGATACAAGTATTAGATGATGGCACCACAAAAAAAATAAGTACATGTATAAAGATGAACTTTAGTGTCACCAATGTCCCAGTACAAATGACCGCAAAGCCATCACTGAATTTAAGGTTCACAGTTAAAAGATTCTCCTTTTACCAGCTACACTATACTTGCGAATGTGGCTGTTAATTGTTCGTGTCACATTCAGATTATAATTTATATCAACCTCAGCAAATAATACATTTCTAACATTCATTAAATGATTAAAGAACACCCCACAATAGGAGCCAATATCTTAAAGATTGTATGAATTTTTGAGCAAAGTAAAATTTAACATAGCACCTTAAATTTTTCACCAACAGCACTACTCTTTAAAAGACACCAAAGTAAACTGATTTAAGGCAGCCAAGGTGTACCATAGCTAGTGTCTATGCTGAGAACACAACCAGAACAATGAATTTGTCATTTGTTGCACGTGTTTCAGCAAAGGCTTGATTACTGGATTCATCAGAGTATCACTTCTCTGCACAGTAGATTTAAATTTGTGGTTTTAATTTAAACATTCAGTGTTGAATAAAAATCAAGTCATCATCATACGTGAAAAGCACCCAAGTACTCTATATTCACCAGAATATAAAACATCCTTTGAATTTTAAGACATTTACCACCCTATCACTGAACCTTGCTTATAGATGAAAACAAAATCAATCACTTAATGATCAAGGTGAGTAAATGTAACATTTGACACCTAAGAGTTGATACTTAAGAGAAAATGTGAGCAGTTAATTTAATTACAGCAATTGCCAACTGATACATCTTATTCTATTACTATTTATGGGCCCTTGGTTATTACCTGGTTATCAAACCAATCAACATTAAAGAGAACTGTTGGTTACAGACAGTACGTTTTCTAAGAGATGTAGCATGAGAGCAAACAAGACAATGTCTGATTGACAGTGTGTCAGAGACAAAGTCACAGAGCTGGAGAAAGTGTGTGCTGATGTAATGACAAGACAATCACAATATGAATTGTGATCTTTCCTCCTAATTGAAATTTACTGTGGAAAATATACAGCCTCAGACCAGCTTATGGACTTATTTGTGCAATTTAACAAACGAATAAAATTTAAGACATAGGCAAAAAATATAATTCATCTAATGTGCATGGCAGAACCACATCCTTATCTGGCACCAGCCCATCAGCTTTGCTGCTAGATTGCACTGAATTGTTTTTCAAACGTGCCAAACATGAAAGATCATACATAGAGACTATCATTCTATTCGTTTGTCAACATTGCATAGATCTAAATTAGGGAATATCAAGCGTAAATATCACAATCTTTAAGATTCATGGACGTCTTCGAGTTCCATCACTAATAATAAATAATCAGACACCCCCGTGTAAGACACTACATTTTTAACATAATTTTCAAAGCTTTCTTCTCTGGTCTATGTGGTAGCCAGACTGACTAATCAAAGTACAGGAGCAATATTGGAAATGGTTGAGTCAGCCTTAAAAAAATTCTGGGTTTAACAATGCAAACTCCACTGTGAACATACTTGGTGTGGCTGTGAGGGGTTCCAGGGGCTTTTCCAAAGTGCCTGTACACCTCTCTGCCTTTGCGGGGTCCTATGAAACGAATACATGTTACAGAGTGACATTTTTTTAATTGTTCACAAAAAATATGACAGTCAGAAAATTATATTATAGAGAGCACATGAAAGGTTAAATACAGCCCTTAATAGCTGATATCAATTTAGCACTGAGATTGAAAAGTGATATATTAATAATAATATTAAATTGATTCTTAAGTTTTCTCAGATTGCAATGACAATGCTACGAAACTGCTTTAGTGTACTTTGGTGCTTGATGCTGACACTGGCAGGACAATGACTGCCAACATTAATTACTGTAGTTTCTATCTGAACCATGTATTTAGTTACCTGACAGCAGCACTGTGCCCTGTCCTTTGGGAGAAGCCAAAGCCAGCTGGTCAAAGGTCATCACCTGACCGCCTGCCTTCAGGATTCTGCGACGGGCACCATCTGTAACCCTCAGAGCACAGATCTGCAGGACAACAAACAGGACATGAAGTCTATTGCAGAGATTTCCAACAATATTACCACGATGAAGATTCCTCATGGCCAGATGGACAATATCGTTTATCAGAGAAGGAGGAAAAAACACACTTAAAGGAGGAGGTACCTTAAGCTTGGGGATATCCTGAATCCTGACATCATCAGTGACTGTTCCCACAACAACAGCGGTTCTGTTCTCACGGCCAGGCATCTTCATCTTACGAATCTGAGGAGATAGAAGCAAAGTCACAAATTCATCTTCCTCTTCACCGTCAATCATAGACCATCTGGTCTGTCAATCAATCATGTAATGAACACAATTGTGACAAATATGCAATATGATGTGATATATTAGTGGATATCATGATAGATTATATTTATCCCAGATCATTTCTTTGCATCAAATTAAAGAAATAATCCAATTTACTTGTATGGACAGGCCAGGGAGCCAAAAATATAACTTGTTGACATCAAGTAAATCTCAATTTTAACACCAAGGACCAGTAGAACAAACTACCTAAACACAAATAAGGATGCACTGATGTAAAACACAAAATAGCAGAACTCAAGAGACTTTGCCACAGCAAGAACCAATTGGAAGTGCCCCTTACAAAGTCTGCACTCCATTCAACTTCCTTCCAGAGATCTTAATTGGTATTTAACGTCCAGTCAAATAAAGCCGGGATGCCATAAGACTATAAACAAACTTTTCAGGTGACCAAGACTGAAGGAAACTCGTATATCAATCTAACATGTCAACAATCAATCTGGACAGTGACCCTGCTGTCTCCTACAGTAACACTGTGTAGTGAAAAGAGAGCACTGGAGTCAGTGTGTGTGGCTGTTACCTATCCCTCAAATTCAGGGACTAACAGAAGCTATGCAATTCTTTTATAATTATGTAAGCCGCTTGTGGTGATGAATTTGGCCCCGCACAAACGTGATCACTATAAGTGGTTTCCATAGAACTAAAACTTTGTCGGGAGGCTGCACGATATTTGTCAGAGCCTCACAATTCTCTATGGAGGAAAAAACCCTGTCTGCAGTTGTGAGGGTGAGAGAAGTGAGACTGACCAGGCGGGAGATAGAGATGGGAGGCCTGTTGGTCCTGCTCATGAAGAGCCTCCTCAGGACCACCTTGTTGAAGGAAGCATTAGAGCGACGGGCCAGGAACCTGTACAGCTGTTGAGAAAACCAGAGGAATGGTTAGACATATTACATGGAACAGACTGAATCGTATTGTGCTTAGACTATTACTACAGCATGGTGTGTGCGTGCGTGTGTATTTACCTTGACCAGGAGCCTCAGATAGATATCCTGGCTCTTTGGCTCTTTCCTGTGCACCTTACGGTCCTTGTTGTGCCTGATGTCGACTCCCTTTATAAGTAAGCAGCAGCAAATACACAATTCATAAGAAGGCAGCTCATTAAACAACACTTCACACATGACCTTATGAAATCCTTGATCCAAGCTTCATTGCTGGACTTGCTAAAAATTCAATCTAAACCTGATATGACAGAAATGTAGTAAGAACGTGTAAGTGAGGACTATTTACACGGCTAAAGACTACAGGCAGTTTAGCATGTAGCACAGGATAGTTCACACGTTGACACTGTGCTGCTAGCTGCTATGGCGACCTGAACCGCTCCAGAGCTATTTACTGTGTGATACGGAAGCTAACATTTACTAAAACACTGACACTGTAAAGCAGACCGTGGTTTAAAAGAATAACCCGCTCAGTGAGAACACGTCCACACAATATTTCTTGCCAACTTCAATGAGACAGGCGGCTACAGTGCTAATGTCGGCACCGGGGAGGGTAAGCTAACATCGACAATAAGCTCAAACATCATGAAATAACGACAGAGCTGCTTTATAAATAATGTTCACAATCAGTGATGGTAGCTGTTGAGCAGATACGATGTTTTAACACAGAGGATGATCGTGGATACTCAGCGAATCGTGTTTAAAATCACAGACTAGCGACACCTACCATCTTGGACTCAGAGCGAAGAGGGAAAAGGAAGAGCCGAGGTCTCGCGATAAACGATGCTGTGAAATCTCGGCAATCTGATTGGCTGGTGAGCACGCGCTTCCTGCGGGTGACGGTCAAATAACATCTGTGAGGATTTTAGGATACTGCCCCCAGTGGTGGAAACAGCGAGAGAGACGAGTGTATTGTAGTGGATCATTTCGATTTGTTTCATACATTTGTACTGTTCGGTCCATTTAGTCATGAAAACATCTATCTATCTATCTATCTATCTATCTATCTATCTATCTATCTATCTATCTATCTATCTATCTATCCATCCATCCATCCATCCATCCATCCATCCATCCATCCATCCATCCATCTATCTATCTTTGTAATAAGGAATCTTAGCAGTACTTTATAAAACAGCTGTACTAGGGTGTTAGTGGGTGGATTGTTTCCCACACTATTACCATCATGATGTCTTTATAATTGCTATTAGCCACTTTTCTTCACAAAAGAAAACATAAATATTAGCCGAGGTATTACAACTAACACCTCTTCCAAAAAAAAAAAATCAATAAAAATGTAGACAATATATTATTTGCCTTTATTTAAACATATGACAACAACAACAATCTTAGTCCAGTATGACTGAAACAGGGTCGACAGGTAAAAAAAAAAAGTTAATTAGCTCTTCTGTTCTCTACATCCTCACAGGAAATGACCAATAAGATTATCATCAGGATTTAACTGAGACACTATTGTGTTATGTACATTGACATACAATAGGGAGGTTGAAACAAAGAGAGCTGTCACAAACCAACAGGGGGGGACTGATCAGCTGATTCACAGAGATTTATCTGACTGAGGAATCCCCCGCAGCCTCCTAATGATACATACTGACTCTGCATCTGAAATCTACTCTCATTATTTTTTACAAAAACCTTCCACAATGGAGCGGAGGATCTTGGGTTTATTCCAGTTTGTGGCTGTGCTGCTGTCTGAGGTGGCACAGGAAGATTGTGAAAGTCAGTGCGATGCCTCCAAGAAACACCGTCCGCGCCACAGGAGGAACCAGAGTGAAGTTCACTGCCTGAAATGAGGGAAGAGGTGAAAGTAAAAACAAAGATCTGTCACTTTACATCCGTGTGTTTATATATGTTCTGTATGTGTGTACATCTGTGAATCTGTGTGTGAAGCAAGAAAGTAGATGAAGATGAATAATACATGAATATCTCACCTGCATTGTTGACCAATATATCACTCCAGCCTAGATAGATAGATAGATAGATAGATTTATCCAAACTAGGTTACAAAGTGCTTCACAAAACCCATGAAAATACAACAGAGTAGATATCAAACAGACAAATATTAAATACAAACAACATCTCTTAAAACCAGTTAAAAATTTGGCATTTAAACACTTTCCTCAACAAATATGTAAATTATTTAAAACAGGTCAAGTGCTCGGAAGTGTAATTTGTTGCAGGCAGGGAGTTCCAGAGCTCCGGGCCCCGATGGCAGAAGCCCGGTCACCCTCTGGTACCGAAGCCTTGACATAGGAACCACTAGCAAGTGTTGGTTGGAAGATACTAGACTACAGTTTGAAGCAGAGGGAGTTGGTAGCTCAGTAACCTAAGTGGGAGCCAAGTCATTAAAGAATGTACCTTGTAAGATGTCCAGAATTTCTGTCTCCAGTCTTCAAGGGGATCCTCTTTGTTTTCTAGTAAACTTAAACCTGAAAAGGCAGAGGTGTGTGGCTGTTATATGGAGCCTTGTTTGGGTCCATCAATAAAACATTATAATTCCTATTTCTTTGCTTGTGTAAGATGGGTTTTAGTCAGTGAACATGCAAATATGTTCACTGACATAAAGACAAGTTATAGCTGGGTTCAATGGGAAAGACAAAATTTTTTAATGTCCAGCCACATCAAAATCTAAATGTTGACTAGTTTGATCTAAACTATACTCAAAGTATGTCTTTGTGAAATAGGCCACATATTCAAAAACTCTTTCTACCAAAGTTCCTTACTTACAGACTTATTTTCTCTAACTTGAGGTAAGCTGGAAAAATGGAAGACGGAAAAAAATTATTGAACAAATGGCAACAAAACAGACACTTTCCCAAACAGAGCCTCATTGTAACTCACTTACCAATATAAAAAGCACTGATGGTGAGAGGAGCTGCGACCAGCTGATCCACCACAACTTTCCCTGTCACCGCCTTCACCCCGCCCCCTGGCAGCATCCTCTCCAGCCACCTCAGCCAGTGGTAGTTGAAGTTGGCATGGAAACAGAAACCGACAGTCGCCACTCGGGCCGTCTGACGCCAGTTGATGCCAGTTGAACCCTCTGCAGTGGACCCTCCCAGCACGCTCTGCTGGATCACGTCAGCTGAGGCAAACAGAGTCGTGTAGCCCAGGACATTACTGATATAGGGGTGAGCTTTGAACAGAGCCCAGGTTCGGTTCATGATGAGAAATCTGATAAGAGAAGAATAAAGGCTGAATTCATTGATTATAAATATATAAGTGTCACTGCTTCGCAACAACACTTTTAAGAGAGTGAAAGGTTTTAAAATAAATGTTCAAATAAAACTGATGAGTCAAACCTACCTTTTAGCATGACTTTCCTCACCCTCTCATTAAATGTCCAAGACCAAAGAAACACAAGTTGTTCTGTCTGATTGGTTGTGTTTGACGATGTGGGGCGGCTGAGGTGAAACTATGGCTGAGGGTGAAACTTCTCACCTGGTCAAAGTTCTGCCACTGTTGCAGGACACATGTGATAAGACCTTTATCAGCACCCTGCAGAGGAATCTGAGAAAAGACCACATGTAAGGAGGAGTGATAAAGAAGATTCAGAGAAGTGACCAAGAGACCAATTCAAGAAGTGACAGAGAGAGCAACAATCTGCTGTTGACTTCAGAGAGGTTATGAAAAAGCAGCCAGACAAACTAAAGTCATACTGAATTAGTGCACATACAGGTTCAAATCACAAATAATTAACCAAAGCTCCAGTTGTCTCAATGAGCCCATTACACACAATGTTTTCATGGCACAATGTGATGTATTGCACCTGTTGTCATGAAAATAAAAGTCACTCGAGAAATTCGACCTCATGTCTGTGCAGAACATTAAATGTTACTTACCACAGACTCTTCCAGCCGAGTGAAGTGTAGAAGTTGAAGCCACAGCAGAAAGTTGACTGTGCAGCTCTCTGGTCAGAGTCACACGTGGTGTCCCTATAAATAGATGCCACTCCTGCAACAGTGCTCCACTCCTTTGAGTAACATGGTGGAAGATGCACAATGTTAATTTTCTTAGAGCAAGAAGTTAAGCAGATGCATTTAAGAGGCTGGAAAGGTGTTGGAGATTATAGAAGTCCAACTATTTTTGTGATAAGGTTAATGTAACTATTGAGGCATCAAAATGAGCTTTGCTGTGACATAGTCTACCTATAAGGGAAAATCGAGAACCCCTACACCTCCAACAGCACCCGGGACGTGCAAATCATTTACAACGTGCCTGTCTATCATGTGCTGTATGTCTTTTATATGCTGAGTTGTATTGTACTGTCTAAATACTCAACAAAAACCAGAATGGTATAAATACTCCAACAAGGCTGAACAATCCTACATGTCTAGTTCTTACACACACACACACATACACTTAAAACAGTTTAGCAACACACAAGGCTTCGGTTCAATAACAATAAACAGATGTATAATAATTATACAAAAATCGTTAAAAAAAATCTGAAATCTGAAAATATGCACTTGTATCCACATCAATTTGCAAACACTCATAAATTCCAGCCCATTAATTTGCCTGATTTTTAAAGTCAAGATCTTTTAAAATGTTGAAAAAAGCCCTATGATGCAACGTTAAAGTAAAATAAAAATATCCTGGATCCTGTTCTCTGTCAGCTTTGTGAAGAGGACAGCCGATTCACCCACCTGCTGCCATAGACATGTAAAATTCTGCCCTTGGAAGGTGTGCTATTGAATTGCAAAGGTCAATTAAAGCCACTAGCAACCACGTTAGCTCTTCCCTCTGAGAATGTGCTAATTGGGGCCAGAGTTTAAGCAGATCAATTAAGAGCTTGTTAACTGCCTCAACCGGTGCGTTTGTGTCTCCCAGTATTTAACAAGCTGCCTTTAGTGTGGCACACAATGGAGACGTGTGCCCACACCTCCGGGAGCGGTTGACTTCTCAGATAATTGCCTCCTTCTTTTCAGTGCCTCTCATCGTGTCTCACTTCCTCTCCCACTATCAATTTGTCAAGTTGGATTCCATTCATTCTGCAGAAAAAAGGGATTCTGTGCATTTGCTTTGAGCGCTCATGTCACTTGACTTCATTTGTGCACACAGACCCAAACATAGACGTACATCAGCAATTAAACCACCACACCTCTCCCTCCCTCCTCCACCTGCAGCCGCCCGCCTTTCCCTGTCCTCAGTCTGTGGGCTCACAGAAAGAAACGCAGCAGCCTGTGGAGGAAGGTAAGAATGATTTACTACTTATTTTCTTTTTAATGCAGCTGAGAAAACAAACAGCAGTTAATGTATGTTTCTAATTTAACTCTTGAGACTTTGATTATAGGCAAAGGTGGAACAAATACTCAGCATTTACACTGATAAAAGCAGCACTACCACCATGTAAAAATACTCTGTTACAAGTAAAAAGTATTCAGGTTTTAGCTGCAAATTATACTTTTAAAAAGTAAAACGTGTTGTCATACAGTTTGTATCTATACAGTATATTATTGAATCATTATTACCACTGATGTGAAGACACTAGTTTATGCTGCTGCTGGTTGAGGTGCAGCCAGTTTTAACTCACATAGTGTCCTGCATATTAGGCTGACCTGGTATAATGCACTGAATTTTATAAACTCAGTATAAAATTAGTATATATCAACTTATTCTGCAGGTTAACTAATAACTGCAGCTGTGAAATAAATATAATAGAGGAAAAATATTATGTAACTCCCTCTGAAAAGTGTCAAGTAGCATAAAATTAACACTTTATTAATGTTCCTCAAAATTGCAGTTAAAGACAGGATTTGAGTAAATGTAAATAGTGTAAATGACAATTTTTGATTTTAAATGAATAACATTTTAAATCTGGTTCATTTTCTTATATTGTTAAACTGGTTGAGATTTTTTAAATATGTGATCACAGGCTATGAAGTCCTTATTATTTACCTACCATGTTGAGTCTTTTAGTTAGAACTTTAACTTGATCAGATTTTAACAAAGCGATGAGGCATTTGTCTCGTCTCACCTTTTTAATATAATTTCTTCTTTTTGTAATTGTCTTTAAATCTCACACCCTCTGTCTTCTCAGCCATGCGACCATCCATCTCCGTTACTCTAGAGCCTGGGTTGGAGCAAGGGGTCCCTTGGGGTCGTGACCTCTACTCCTTTGTAACCTCCGCAGCAGGTCACATGATGAGGACCCTGCAGAAACCTCGGAAGAACCGGCCGTCCAAACGACAGGTCAACCACCGCCGCTTTCTGCACAACATGATTCAGAGGTGAGGAGAGACGTCACAGTTGGATCCTGAAAGTGTCCTGAGGCTGCAGTTCCCAGACTGGGGGGTCAGTCCCAAAAGGAGGTCGCCATGTAATAAGATAGGATAGGAGCGAGTATCTGTAATATACAGATAGAAGTTTATCGAAAGCTTATGCTTACTTCTCTCTTATTAAATAACCTAAAATCCTACAGATGAAAAAATCTAAGGATATTGAAATCACTCTTCAGCTATGTTTCAATTAGACATTGATATTCTTTTTAATATACATACTGGGGAAATACCCACCCATATGTTGACATCACTATGTGGTTGCCAGGCAGAAATCCCAGCAAAACATTGTATTTAGCAAAGAAATAGTCCTGCATACAATGTCCTGTAAAACAATGAGTGTTGTTTTTCACACTTTGGTTTTTATAGGAATTACACAAACAAGTGTATTTGCTAAAATGTCATATTATTCCCTGAAGGGGACATAAGTCTTTGGGAGCCTTCTTGTGACATTCTTAAAAACTGGTGGTGAATCAACATCTCGTCTTTCTCTCTCTCTGCAGAAAGTTTGCAGACATCGAGGCGGCAAACCACCGACTTGCATCTGCTCTGGAAGAGAAAACAGAATCATCTTTGCAGCCACAGACACCAGCCACTGGTAGCCCCTCCCAGAGCGGCCATGTACGAGACCCGGAGAAATGCAGTGATCACACAGATGCAGATGACGTCTCAAAGTTTGTGACGGACGTCTCTGATGAGTCACATCGAACTGAAGTCTCTGAAAAGAAGCATCCGGACTCACAACATCTGTGGAAACTGCAGCGCAAATCACAACCCAACACCTCAACCATTAAAAACAACCAGGGCAAAGGGAGGAAGAAAAAGAGAAGTGGAAATCGTAAACTGGTTGAATTCACATCTCTTGGTTCCCCCAAAGAGACGGACTACTACCACGGGGCAGAGGTCTTTCAATCTGAGTCTTACAATGACAGTCCACTGAAGTCCAACCTCTCAGAAGACACATCTCTACAGAACTCAAGTTTGGACCAGTTTGGCCAAAATATGGACATGTCTCTGTCCTTCTCTCCAGAGCTCTCTCCGTTGTCTCTGGACTCTTGCGACTTCTCGATCCAAATGTTCACAGACGTCTCGACCTGCACTCAGGCTCAGAGGAGCATCGCTGACATCGCAGAGAGTCCGTGGGCAGACATCATGGATCTGTTCAGTGTTGGTGGCAAGGACCTGGGGGGCTGCCTGGATGTAGGCGCCTATTTTCAAAGTATCTGTGCAGAGGTCGGTGCAGATGATTCAACATTTGCAGACCAGTCAGGTAGTTTCGCCGACAGGATGTGCAACGACACGTCTGACCTGGAGGATCTACACCGAGACAGAGATGAGTATGGATATGAATACGGATACAGTTGCCATGGAGACCAGGGATTGACCATCAATCACACTTCAGAGACACAATTCCATCATTTCAAACCAGCTCATGATTCAGACTTGGCCCAAAACCAGTTCTCCACGTCAACCAGCTGTTACTACAACATGTCACAGCAGCGAACCGAGGACCTGAGTCCCTGTAAACTTCTTCACTGTGACAAGAACCAGCGTTTTACACTATTTGAGGGAGTTGCTCAGTCATTCTCTGTCCCACTTCATAATCCTGTGCATTGCCCCGTGCCCACACCACCACATGAACAGGACTGGCTGTTCCCTGACATCCTCAAGGAAAGAAAGTCGCCCGACTGCTAGAGTTTTCCTGTTTCTGTGAGTGTGTTATTAAATGTGTGTGGAGAATGAAATGAACCAGGCTCCACAGTGATTACCATTACTACTCTCCTGACAATCAAAGCTCAGACACTCAACTGTTCAACCATCTCAAGCAATTCACCCATTTTGATGAGAATAGAAAATGTAAGTATAAAGTCATAGGTGTAAGAAATTGTGATTTTTAACATAATCACATTCATTATGCCAAGGAGGTTATGTTTCTATGCTGTTTTTTTGTTTGTCCGTCAGCAGGATTTCTCAAAAACCCCTGAACTGATTTCCATGAAAGTTTGAGGACGGGTGGAGCATGATTAAAAAAGAAGCAATTACATTTTGACGTAAAACCTGTGATAAGCAGGCAGATCCAGGAAAGTTTTCACCTTCTTTAGAATGATGAGATGGGACTTGAGTATTATCAAGTTGAAAAGATTGACACACTATTTGTCTTTTTACATTCCTTCCTTTGAGTTCTGCCAATAGTTTCTTATACAAACCTCAAAGATCTTTTGAATCTTTTTGCTCCTAAATTTCTCAAATTTCACTCCACGAGCTTTTATAATTATTCGTTCAACAAAGAAACAGTGACGCTGCTATGTTTAAATTACTAGATTCAAATGCATTTGCTTAAGATTTAACTAAATCATTTGTTGATCATTTTACACATTAATACACTCACCATGAATTAAATCTGTTTTCTCTGGTTATTTGATTAACCTGTGTGTGCGTGTGTGTGTCAGACCGTGGGCTGATGACAGTAGTAATGTACCAAGTATGAAATGTTCTTGTTTAAGTGGTGGTAAATATCTATAATGGGAATAAAATTAATAAATGCTGAGTGACACAATTAAAATGTTACGTCCACTTTTTTGTGAGATGTTTTTGTGTAGTATGCTTGTGTAGCACAACCTTGTGCTTGTGTGGACTACAGTGCAAAGAAACACACTCACTCACACAAAGATCAAAACCAACAACATATTTTAAAGTTAACCCCAGTCAGATGTTTTATAATTACAGCATCATTAACAAAAAAGGCTAAAACAATAAAACATGTTTCCAAAAATGTTTCAAGTTCCAGAGTAGCCATAAACAAACACAGAGAGAAAAATAACACCTCAGAGAAGCACCAGCCACATCTCTTGCTACAGGTGAACAGAACCGATCTGTTCTCGTTCCAGCGGTTCACTCCACGCGTCTTCAGATTTTGGTCGATCAGGGCGTGAACATTTAGACGATGATATGACATTTTGAGATCAGAACATTTAGGAGAATCGTACAGAGCGACAAAATATCAGCTCATTTGGCTTAATGCTATGTCAGCCTCCTTGTCATAAATTAGAACCTGACAAAGCACGACTGTGTTTGTCCTCACTGGTAAGTGTGTAAAGTGCAGCATTTACACAATATCTTTAAAAAAAACACAGCTTCAAACAAAACCATTTGCATATTAGTAAAATAAAACAAATGTACATACAGAAAATAAAAAATGACGCCCTTCGATAGGGTGTTAAATATATGTCCTCAGTAGTCAAACTCTTTCTCGACCCGACAAGTCTGATCTGATCTGTCGCTAACTGTGAATTATGGTGGCAAAAAAAGAATAAGCTTTGATACACACGGGACGTCAGGCCTGCAGTGTGCACACACTTAGTGGTCTTGTTTCTCAGTGCAATATAAACCTGTTAATTAAAAACAGAAGGAAGAAGAGAAGGGGCCAATAAGAACAACCCTGATAACAGAAAACTACACTGTGCTGGTCCTGTGTGTCATCAACCGTAAACACCAACTGGATCATTAACCCTTTGCCATAAAGTATCAACAGAAATCTAGAAAAACAACATTCAGAGCAATTCCAGGAACATAATATTCATAATAGTTTAGCTACACAATCTTTATCTTTTAGTTCCAATTATGAGTTAAAGCGCCAATGACATTCTTTCTAATTTAAGCAGCATGTCTCAATTCATCAAAGGAACAGTTCATTATCAAAGGTAAAATTTCAGAAGCTTTTTGACGGGGAATCATGTGTCGGATTTTTTACCTGTAGCAGTGAATTCCAGAATCTGTGCTTACAACACCAGGGTAGGAAATCGAGCAGCACATAAAGGTGTAAATTAATCTTCACATTTAACTCTTAAATAAAGAAATTAGCCCATTGACCAAAATGTTGAACTATTCCTTTAAAACATTTCAGTTTGCAGACACCACATGAACATCCTCAGTCTTAAAGCTGTGACAGGCAACAGGTGCTGACGAAAGTCCCAAACTAAACTAAATAAATAAAAATGACCTTCATCTGTTAAATGATAAAAAATTCAGAGGTTTCACCTCAAAACCATGTTCCGCAGCCGGGTCATCATCAAACCCCATGTGTCTGGTTCACACCATTTTGACTTATGATATCTAGAGTAACAAAAATCTATTTGTTCATAAACATGAACTCCTCTGTGCCTCCATTGTCATTTTTATCTAATACTACTACTTTCTGAAAATGCTTTGAGGCTCGTGCTCATTTATTTCAACAATTGTCTAAACAGGAGCTGTGAGCAGCGAGTGCCGTTATTCTACTGAAGACATCCTCCAGTCGAGTCACTGGATGAGACTTGAACACCTCACCGGCCTCTACTCCTGCCATCTACTCTACTCTACCACTAGTCTACGTCTACTACAACTTTAAGTCCCTTTTTCTCATCCATACGCCCACCATTTGGTTAAACAGAAAAGCTTTCTTTGATCAATAATTTACACAGTTAATTCGTAAAAATCAAAATTACAATGTACAAGATGCTTGTCAAAATAAAATGAGATGTTTTATCGATCTAAACAAGAAAAAAGATGTATTGTGTTGCTTTGGATAAAAACAAACAAATTAATACAGCAGTAGTTGTGTTGCTGTTATTGATTTCAACACTAGCAACGACTCTAACCACAGTGGTCATCCATGCAAAGAGAACCGATCCTGTAACGCTCTATGAAACGAGGCAAACCTGCCCAACATGTAACACATGTGACCCAACATGCAGTGCCAGCAGGAGCAGAAACAATCAAACCAACTTCTGACACAGGACAGAGCCGTACAGGAAGCTACCAGTGATCAATAACTTAAGGTCATATTTTATATAAATTATACAAATTTCTGATTTCTGAAGCAATTTGTTAAGACTCTAGTTCAAGAAACTATCTAATAATACTACTGCATTGTCTAACAACATACTCATTCTAATCTATAGAAAAAGGATTTATCATTTAATCCAACCTTAAATGTGGCTGCATGTACAGTAGACTGCTTTTTATGGTCAAATGAGCTAAAACTGATATGAAAATGAGATCAATATGTTACTGAACTAAGTTTGATTAAATTTTATTTTCTGTACCTCACTGTTTTTTTCTTTCTGTTTTCCAGATAATTCAGTTAATTATTTTTTTTAAAGTTAATTGACATGAAAAAAAAAATCACATTTGCACGAAACACATGCTCATGAAAAGAGTAAACTCTCTTTTCCATGTCTGCATTTGATTTCCTCTTATTGGCTTCTTTATGTAACATTAATATCGATTGTCTTAACACCTCTCAGAAGTATTTTCAACCTCCAGCAGCCCTTCGTGATATCAGATTGTATATTTATTCAATCCTCATCAGCGGGTTAAACATGGCTTAATTTTGAAATACCTCCTAATGTAAAAGACATGAACACCATAATGTTTTCTGCTCTCTGAGCACTGTACAGCATCGTGAAATCAGCTGGTAACAATTCACTTTCCCCATTGGAACTCTGGGACATGGAGTTTAGTTTCTTAGAAGTGCATTACAGAGGTGCAATGTAATGTAGAAATTTCCAGTCTTTGTTATGTCGCTTTGTTTGGGTCACAGTTAGTTACAAAATAAAAATTAATTCCAGTTGCCCCTTTGTAAAATCAAAATTTTACATCATTTTCTGTACTTAACATATCAGGTTGTTTTAAAGTTAAAGCATATACATCTTATATGACTTTCTGTTTCTTTCTTACTGTTTCTTTTCATAAACTAGTGTTGTTATGTAGTTTGTGTGTGTGTGTGCGTGTGTGTGTGTCACTCCTTCCCCCCTGAGTAGTCCAGACTATATGTGTGTGTGTGTGTGTGTGTGTGTGTGTGTGTTTACGTTTTATGTTTGTGAATGAGTCTACGTGTCCATCACTCTGTGTTGTTGACACTATAAGGTGGTGGAGGGTCCAGACTGTGTTCAGAGGAGGGAGTTGGGGTTCCTGGGATTCCAGAGGAGGGAGTCGGAGAGGCTGGAGGCTCTTCTGAGTCAGAGTTCTCTAAGGAGAGGTCATCGACCAACGCTCTGCGTCCACGCATCGCCAGGGGCAACGGAGCACGCCTGGACAGGAAGAGAGAGTTACAATAAGCCCTGCTGTGAAAATAGTGCAGGGTGAAACAAACACTACAGAGAGCAGTGATTTATTTTACTTTCCATCAGCTATCTACATTAATTACTAACAACTAGACAACAAGCATTCTGAATCCATGATTTATTGTGAGGGTTAGTTATTATTCTTCAATAAATCAATTATTTATTCTATAAAATGCCAGAAAATAGTGGGAAATGCCCATCACAAGTTTCAAGAACCCAAAGTTGCATCTTCCAGTTGTTTGTTTTGTGCAACCAACAGTTAAAGACACAAAGATTTTCAAATTCCAAACACATAAAGAGGAGAAAGTAGCAAATTGTCACAATCACATGAAAAATGATCTACTAAGCAATTGTTTGATTTAATAATGATCATGCCTGGAAACAGATCATCAGTACAAAAATGGAATGTAAACATATAAAAGTGTATATTTAATTTTTTTAGGAATAGATTAAAAAGCACATAATGGGTATTGAGTTATTTGTCAAGTGGTTTTTTTGTCGGAACACAATGCCTTACTTTGTTTTCTGTTTGGATTGAGCAAACAAGGTATAACGTGCCAATCAGTGAGCTAGAGGTGCAAGGAGTCTGATTTTGTTACTTTTGCTAAGCTAACCAGCTGTTGGCTGTAGCTTCATACTGACTGTCCTGACACGAGTCAGATCAACTTCACCAAAGAAAGCAAATAAGCATAATTCTCAAAAAAATAAAAACAATTCTTAAAAAAGTTACATAGATAGAGGAAATGAACAAAGCGTATGCAACAATTAATAAAGGTCGCAACATGTACGACACAATTGAGACACACAAAAAAAGAACACACATGGTGACCTACTTATCTGGTCTCCATTCAGGGACGCTGAGTGTTGGTGTGACGCAGACAGATGGACAGTGAGTCAGAGTTAGATGGACACAAATGGATGCAACAAAAGAGCAAAGTAAAACAAATCATATCAAGTTAATGGGGATGAAAAAGAAAATAAGACGACAATAAACAACGATCATACAAGGACAAAAAAATAGATACACCCACTCTCTCACACATTAACACACACACAGTCATGGTTACCTGAGCTGGCTGCGGAGCGAGGTGATCTCTCGCGTCATGGTCTGACCGCTGTCAGCAAGCTCCTCCAGCTCTCTCTGCAGCTTCCTCTTCTGGGCGTTGGAGCGAGAGTTCTCCTCCTCCACCTCCTCCAGCTGCCTCTTCAGCTGCTTCAGTCGGACCATCGATTTATCCAGCTGGACAAGGAGGGGGAGCAGACGGAAGAGGTGGAGGAGAAAGGAGCAAATAACAGAGAGTATTGCAGAGGTCAGGGTGAGACGTGAGATTGGAGGAAAAACGGGAAAGAGAAGACAGAGAAGGGGACGGGTGCATAGAAAGAGAGATTAGTCTGGGGAGGACTGATGGGGATCAGATTAAATCTAGCAGATAATCACTGATGATGTTTTGGCAGGAGAGTCAGTGTCTCTGCTGTGGTTGAGGGATTTATTTTTTGGAGTCGGGTACGTTCTACCTTCCCAATAAATACACAGATGCAAAAGCAGGATTAGGATTAGGTTGGACTGAGCCAGATAAATCATTTTACGATGATTTTTCAACCCTAACCCCCAATTACAGCAGTGATCTTAGATGACGTGGTCCCCAATTAATGATTATTTCATGCTTTGTCACTGGTTTGACTATTGTGTGTGTGTGTGTGTGTTTGTGCGCTACTGTGAATTACCTGAGCAGCTAAAGTCAGAGTAATATCAGTTTTCTTACCTGTTCTCTGTACTGGTCTGCATGTCTCCTCTCGTCCTCTGCCTGCATCATCACCTCCTTCAGTTTCTTCTCTGTCTTTCGCACCAGTTTGTTGGCGATGGCTCGTTCCCTAAGAGACAAAAAGAGCCAAGATAAGCGTCCTGCTGCACCATAAGACATCTATCGGTTTAAAACATTTACCTCATTATGTTTTAACAGCTCTTAAAAGTCATTTCAATTCTTAGATTAGATTATTTATTTTAGATCAATGTACATGATATATCCCTCATTTGTGTCTCATTGTTGGGAACCACTGATGCTGCCTCAGATGTTATGAATGTCATTTATTATAACAGGATTTATTAAAACATTATTGTAGAATTGATGGTCATTGCATCTTTTGTGTGTCTGTCTCTCTCACTGTCTCTCCTGTTCCATTTGCTCCTCCATTGACTCGATCTTGGCCTCAAGGGCGGCGACACTGAGCCTGTGTTTGCCCCTCACTGCTCCCTCCAGCTCCCCGAGCCGGGTCTTCAGGTCCTTGTTCTGCCTCTCCAGCTGCTCCCGGGCAGCCTCTGCCTTCTGGGCCAAAGTCCTCTCTCCCTGCAGCTGCACGGTCATAGTCTCCACCTGGAGCAAGAGCCACAATGTGTGGTTACATGAATGTGTGTGAAAACAGGTGCGTGCGTGCATGCGTGCGTGCCGTTCTATCTACTGTACCTGCAGAGTCATCTTCCTTTGTCTCTCTGCCAACAGTTCAGAGTTAGTCTGCTCCTCCTCCAGCTCCTCCTCTAGCTGATTGACCCGAGCCTCTAACCTCCGCTTCTCGTCAAACAATACAGTTCTGGACAAATGTGAAATTTTAGTAATGCAACAGTGACAACAACTCTCTGAATAACACAACAAATCTGTAGTAAAGAGATACTAACTTTCCAGAGCTGCTGTTGACCATCTCATCAGCGATCTCGTCTCTTTCCTGCTGAGCCTGCCTCTTCTGTCTCTCTGATACAGACAGTTCCTATACAGTGAAATGGAATCAGAGTCAATTAAAATGCTGATAATGAAATTAAATGAATTACTGTAATATTTCTGTTAATTAAGATTTTTCACTCCAACACACCTCTGAGAGTTGCAGGACTTCTGCCTCCAGGGTTTGGATTTTCTTCTCATTGTCTTTCGACTGGGAGATCACCTCCTCCCGAGTCAACTTGTTCTCATCAAGCTCACGCAGAATTTCTTTCATTTGACCCTGTGACATATAAAAATAAATGTGAAAAAGGCAGTATATTGAAAAGTGTAAAAAAATAGTGCTTATGTATAGGGAAATTTACCTGCAGCCTCCGTAGCTGCTTCATAGCATCCTCTTTGCCACGGCTTGATGTCTCCACCTGGGCCTGGGATTCCTGCAGCTCTGCTTCCAGCTGCTTCTTGGAGGACACAGCCTGAGAGCGTTGACTCCTCTCCTCCTCCAGGTGGATCTCCAGTTCCCTCACCTGGTATAGAAAGGAGGACGGGAACATTTTGAGCGATTGGCAGAAAGGAGTAGCAGCAATGCTTCATATGATTTCCTCTCTCCATCCCCTCCCTACCTGTTTGCTTAGCGCCCTTCTCTTCTCCTCTCCCTTCTCCTCGTTGGTGCTGATCTCCCTCTCAAACTGAGCTTTGAGCGCCTGCAAGGTGACCTCCAGCCTCAGCCTTGAGTTCTCCGCCTCCGTCAGCTCCTCCTCAAGCTCCTGTGTCTGAACTCGAAGGCTCTGGGCTTCTGTTTCTAAGGACCTCCGGGTCCGCTCCAGCTCATGAACCTAATCCAAAAGCAGAAGAAACAGTGACTAATTTAGGATTGAAACAGAGGAATAACAAACGGGTTCCATGAGAAAGGTCCTTACGTTCTTGCCGACGTCATCCTGCTGGTTTATAAGCTGCTCCATTTCTGCACGGAGCTGCTTGTTGGCCCTCTCTAGCTCTTCCCTCTGATCCTGGGCCTCCTACAAACCGGATCACAGATAATTAATCAACACAATCGCAGATACATAATGAACCTCCTTACGTTGTCTGCTCTCGAATAGTTTACCTGCAGGGCTCGAGACAGTGCCAGATATCTTGTCTCCTTTTCTCGGCTGTCTGCTTCAGCTCTGTCCTTCTCCTCTGTAAGCCGAGCACTCACAGCCTTCTCCTCAGACAGACACTGGTGGGCAAAGAGGACGAGGAAAAGTTAGAGGTCAGAAGGAAACAATTCAGTTAGAAGTTTGCAGCCTGTGCACAGAAGCAAACCGATGAGTCTCTAACCTGGTCAAACTTCTTCTGCCTCTTCTCCAGGGCCATGCAGTTCTGCCTCTCCCTCTGCAAGGCCAGCGTCATGTCCTCTATCTCTTCCCTCAGACGTTCCCTCTGCCTCTCCACTCTCTCTTTCTCCTCTTCCTTCTGGCGCTCCCTCTGGACAGTGCTGTCCAGCTCCCTCTGAAGTTTCCTGCGTGTCTCCTCTCCGACTTCCACTGCAGTGTTCACTTCCTCCGACTGCTTACGAACCTCTACCAGCTGCGGGAGGGTAACAGAGACTGTTTAAAAATATCATGGAGGTGTTTATTGAAACTACAACAATCATCTTACTGCTTATTCTACATATTTGCTCTCCTCGTGAATTATTAGTGGAAACTACTTGAAGAACATCTGCTATATTACTACAAATATTATATTGTGATTATCTCAGAGCCATTTTGATCGTTCACACCTTTTTGCATATATAGATATTTATCAAATTAATCATCCGTTCCAGAGTTGAATTCAAGTCTGTGTCAGTCTCTGATTTACCTGCTGGGTGTGAGTCTGGATCTGTCGGGTCAACTCTTTGGCTCTTTCCTCCTCCTCCTCAAGTCTCTCCATCAGTCCGTTCTTCTCCTCCTCCAGTGTTCGCACCCTGGAGGCGAGAGCCATCTTTTGACGTGATTCATCCTGCAGCAATTCCTGAGAGAGAAAGAGAAAATAAGTTGTTGCTATTTTCTTAACTATAGAAATAGGTACTAAAAGTATCTGTGGCTGAAGCAGAAATCCAAAGCTCAACACCACACGTCAAACCCTGTCTAGTGTGGTTTTCAGTTTTTACCTTTGCATCATTCAGCTGGCTCTCCAGGCTGCTGACCTCTTTCGCGAGCCGAAGGGTTTTGCTGTCAGAAGAAGTCAAACTGCCGGAGAGAGTCTCAATCTCACACTGATAGAGACGGAGAAGGATAGAAAGATAAATTGATCAACAAAAAATTTAATGTGAGAGGATCCCCTAACTGCAACACATGAATCTGCTTAAACCAAACAGAAAAAAACAATCAAACAAATAAATCCAGCTTTAATATCAGCGGCCTCAAATTCTGCTGCACCTGTAGTTTGTGCAGCCGTTCCTCCCTCTCTTCCCTCTCTCTGTCAGCCTGAGTCAGACGGGCACTGAGCTCCTGCAGCTGACCGTCGGCCCTCTTGCGACCTCTCTCGCTCTCTGTGCGGCTCGCTTGGAGACTCTTCAGCTCGGCGGACAAATTCTGCCTCTCCTCCTCCAGCACAGCCTTGGCCTTCTCCAGGGACTGACGCGACTGAAAGAGAACAGGGGTGACACAGATGAGTGAGGGTGCACGCTTTCACATGCATGTGTTTTTCAGTATAGATGCATGGTTCTCGTACCCTCTTGCTGTTATCCAGCTGCTCCTGGAGGTTGTCTATGGCACCGCTGTGTTTGACCCTGAGCTCCGACAGCTGGGCCTCGTGGCGACGAGTTTCATCTTCAATACATCGCTGGAGGTCACTTAATTCTGCCTCTCGACGAGACCTGTACAGATGAAAGAGGACGGAGGACAAACAGGGTTTAAGTAATCAAGTATCATTTTCACTCAGTTTGCCTTTTTTAATTCTTGATGTAACAGTATATCATTTACCTGAGCTCTTGCTGGGCAGCTGTGGTGTCCAAAGTGTCCTCCAGCTCAGTTCTCAAAGCCTCCAACTCCTCCCCCAGGTCTCGCCTCTGCTTTTCTGCCCTTTCCCTCATTCCTCGCTCATTCTCCACTTCCTCCTTTAGCTCTGACACCTGGGACGTGGCCTCCCTCAGTGCCCTCTGTGCTTCAGAACGACGAGCACCCTCTTCCTCCAACCTAACAGAATCAGGGAGAGATTAATGGTTTGCACTACGGAGAATCTAAAACTGTCCTTTTAGTGTTATTTTGTCTATTATGCGTCCTCCTGTGTCTCACCGGCCCTGTAAGGTGGTGATTTCCTTCTCCTTCTGCGAGAGACTACCCTTCAGCTCAGCGGACAGCATGCCCAGGTCCGACAGCTGCTCCTGGGCTTCCACTGTTTCGTTCTCCATCCTCCTTTTCCATTTCTCCTGCTCCAAGCGACCCTGCTCCTCACGCTTAAGACGCTCTGCACACAGAGATGAAGAAAGTAATGATCGGATCACAGCATTTCACCTACTGTGGATTTATGACTCTGCAAGACAAGATTGCTTTCAAATACTATGATAAAATAGGGTAGTAAATATAATATCCCACTAGGTAGGGCTGCACAAATATGATAAAGCTCATAGTCACATTTTTCTGGCTAAATGTTACGGTATTATTTTACACAATAATCAAAAACTTTGCATTCTGCTTAAAGAAACCTTTCGATGAAAACCACTTCAAACAAAGATATGCAAAACAGTTACCCTCTAAGTCGGCGATCACAGCCTCCTGTTTGTTCTTGAGTTTGTTCAGACTCTTGGTTTTCTCCTCTTCCTCAGTGAGCTGGTCAGTAACTTCACTCAGACGCTCCTCAAACTGTTTCTTCTCCTGCTCAGAGAAAAATAACAGTGATATGGTATAGGGTTATGAAACACACAAACAAATATGCATAACACACACTGTTTATTGTGTGATTTGACGTTCACCTTGCTGAGTCGGTCTCTCTGCTCCACAGCACTCAGCAGGTCAGTTTCCAGACTTTTCACTTTAGTCTCCAAGGTAACTTTCTCCAGCAGGAGGCGCTGTCGGGCACTTTCCTCCTCCTCTAACTGCTCCTCCAGGTCCTGACGAAGACAGAAGGATTGATGTAAGAATAACGTCAGGTCCGGGTCAGACTGTTTACTTGTTTAATCACACTTTGCAAATGTTCTTCTGTTTTTATGAATAAACCATATATCTTTATTAACCTGTATATTCTGCTGCATCCTCTTCTTCTCATTGGTCAGCTGCACACCCCTCTCCTCCTCGTCCTCCAGTCGACTCTCAAGCTCACCGAGTACCTCCTCCAGCTCCTGTTTCCGACTGGCAAGCCTGGCTCTCATCTCCTCTGCCTCTGCAAACAGCTCTGCTTCCGCCTGCAGCTGATCAGCCAGCACTGCCTTCTCCTCCACCAGCTAGCGGGTGTCAGAGAGAGTAAGAGGAGGGATGAGTGATCTCAACAATTCAGGCACGAACAGGGACGAACAGCGATGGACAGTTGGCTGAGTAAAATGGAAATTTGTTTACCTGAAGGTGTTTCTTGTCCAGCTCGGTAAAGTCCAGCTCCACTCGGGTGAGCTTGTCCTTTGCCTTCTGAAGCTCAGCTTCCCTTACCTGGATCTCCTCATCCTGCCGGGTTACCTGCAGCAGGGGCTTCACCTGATAGGTCCAGAAAAAGCATTTTAGTGCAATGTGAGGACTATCCACATTCCCCAGTGATTTCATTTAAATGAACAGACACCAAGTTTAATAAAAGGATTGAAGATCTTTCAGCAGTGCCACTTAGAGATAACTGAATAGTTTATTTCATGTCTATGCCATGATATAGTCACATTCACAGTACCTTAGTGAACAGCCTCCACCACTGCCAGTTCCTGAGTTTGAGGTAAGCAGCACAGTTCCTCTGCATCACTCTCATAGCGCTGAGCTGCTGCTGCTTCTTCAAAAAGGCTCTGAGGAGAAACAAGAATACAATAAATCATCGAAAATATATGTTGAGGTGGCAGATCATTCGTCTGGATGCAGAAAGTAGATAATGTCCTGTATAAGCATGATAAACACAGTTTTATCATTCATGGCAATCCCTGGGGACATTTTAAAAATTTGCACAAAATTAGTGAATAATACATTTTAACCTCTAAATAGATAAGCTCCACATAAAAGTATAAATTATGCCATTTATTTATGCCATTTACAGTTTTCCATAAGATGAGCCAAGACCTGTTGTGCTGCTGCAATTCCAGAGGATTAAATATTAATGCTCCTTGAAGAGCGAAACCCAAAACTACAGACTGAACAGAAGCAAGCAAGTGCCCCCTAATGAGAAACTGCACCACTGTTAGTGGTTCAATATCTCTGGACCCTTCAGTCTTATTTAGTAAAGAGTGATATTGCCAAGATGAGGACTGAAATTGACTGAGGTTGAGTCCTCTATAATATCTAATAAATATTAAAAAATCTGTCCTGTAAAAAACTCTTTGGTAATTCTCCTACTTGCGTGCTAGGTAGCCTCTGGAAGCGCTCTGGAAGCGTATGATGGTGTCAGTGATCTTCAGGTCTCTTTCCTCTTCCAGATGACCCAGGACTCCAGCTCTGAAGAAGACTTTACTCTGACCCACCCTGAACAGGTTGTGATCAAGCTCCAGAGCCCTGATCTGAACACGGACACAGTGGTTGGTCAATCTAACACGACACGGTATGTTTATAGCCACTGACTGAAACATGACTTCTTACCATGAGTTCTGATGCCTGTTTACCATCCATGAAGGTGCGAGGGATAGCATTAGGAGTCAGGATCTCATATCTGGAAGAGAAGGGTGATTCTATGAGTGCGAGAGTGAGGATGTGTAAAAAGAGTCATTTACAGGTGTCAGAGAAAGTGCCTGAAGAAAACATGCAGTGTGAGAGCGAGGGAGAAACTAGCAGATGGCTATGAAAGGTAGATTATTTGTCACCCAACTACATAAATTGCATTAAGTATGGAAACCTTTGTTGTTCTTATTCTGATGTTTGTCTATTGTATTAGTGTGTAAGTTCATTCAGAAAAAACAAAAAAACTACAGCGTTTAACAGTTTGTCACAGTAAAGTTGGCCTTATCCTATTAATCATGTGTGTAAAATTTTGCAAACACGCACACAAACACACACACACACACACACACCTCTGTCTAAACTCCTGGAATGGGATGCGGTTAGGGAAGCCTTGTCTGCAGATTCGGATCCCCTCCAGAACTCCATTACACCTCAGCTGGTCCAAAACCAAATGGGGAGACAGCTTACCAGACTGTGAGAAAATAAAAGAGAGAAAGGAAGGAGTCAGACATTAAATCCAGTTTACAGCAGGTTCCTTTTACGTTCTTCTTCCTCATCCAGTCACATGGTCTTACCTTCTTTTCGTGGTTGGGGATGATGCAGCGGAGGAAGTTGGGGTTGGTGTTCCGCAGTGTGGCCATCAACTTGGTGAGAGACTCCTTGTAAAGCTGACCTACAGTCCTAAACATTCCCTTCTTCGTCTTCAGTCCTGCAGCACCGAATGTGACCGGCCCGCTGCTCTCTCCTGACGACACCTGGTCCAGACCTATGATCCTGTCCACTGGACGAAAAACATGGGGAGCCGAGTTTCAATTTCAGTAGCAATAATCAATATGGTGGAGTGAATGTGAGTGTTTGCCAGACTTGATTTTGCACGGTTGTACCATGGCTTTATGATGGCATAAACATTTCACACCTGCTTTCACATCTGCTCAGAACATATGATCTCAGATGGTTGTGAAGCTCATTAGAGATGCAGTGGTTTGGTTTTGTGAAGCCAAAACCAATAAAGACATTTTATCACCTGTATCAGCCACCAGAAACACAAACAGATTCTCTGTTCTCACAAGAGCTTAGAGCAGGTGCGGCAGTTACAGCTCAACCTGTTGACTTAGTACATGTCTAGACAGGCATGACTAAAGGTTTGTCTTAGTCCATAATAAGCCATTTCTCAATTCATTTTCCTGATTTGACAGCTGAATTGACTTACATTATCCTACCAGTAAAAAATACGGTCAAATAATAATCATCCTCAACCATTACTGAAGCTATTATTTTAACATTTTTTAAAGGTTAGTATGTCAATATGTTGCTGCATCTCTAGAACTGATTCAGGATCACATTTCTGCTTGCACATGGTTGGCAAATCTTCATGTCTGCGTATGTGATGCTGAATTTCATTAATATGACTAATCAAGGGCATGCTGCTACCTTCACACTCACATTTCTACAGAACCAATGTGAATTTCTTCTGTATTAATGCAAAAAGCTACAGCACACATGCACAGCACTGTCACTAGAAGCCAAAATATGGTAAAAGAGCAAAAAGAGAGCAACTATGTGACAGCGTATGACACCACAACACAAAGGAAACTAAAACGTCACAAAAAGTCACACTACAATCTTAAACTGGGTAGACAGAAAACAACTGAGTAATGTTAGCAGAGATGGGAGTGAGGAGTGTGAGAGTGACATGCAGAGGAGGAGGAAAACCTACTGTCGGAGCCATTAGCCTGTAGTGTGGCATAGGAGTCAAAGAAGTAAACACGAGGAAGAGTTTGGATATCTGATGCAGGAAGAAGGAGAGGACAGGGAGAAATATAAGAGGGAAGAAACCAGATTAGTGGAGAAGGAAGAGAAAAGAACAGGAGGAAAAAGGAAAAGAGGAAATGAAAACACAGGAGAGAACAAATGAAGAACAAAGACATGATCCAAAATTAAACGAGAGCAGAAAGAAAGTATAGTTGCATAACAGAAAAGGAGGAAAAAGAAATATAGTTAGAACATTTTTTTTACATTACATTACATTTCATTTAGCTTTTATCCAAAGCAACTTACAACAATTCATTGTCATTTTCAAATGCTTTAAAGTACATAACCTCTTTTTACACACATTTTTGCTTAATATACATATGAAGTCCTTGGGTAAAAGGTTAACTTTGCATAGAAGTGAATGTGTAAAACAGTCTCACCCTCCTTCCAGAGTTCTGAGACAAAATGATCGGAAGACTGGTGGAGTAGAGATGCCACATTGTCGTTTAGAGGATCCATGTTCTTCACTAACCAATCATCTGCCTTATAGTTCACCTGAGAGTGGGGAGACAAAAGGTGAGATGTGTCATCTTGCAGGGTGGTTTACTTGACTGGGAAAGATGACGTACAATACATTAGCTACAAAAAACGGGGGTAAAAAAGAGGGATACCTTTCCAGCATAGTGAATGATGGAGAAGTCAGCTTCCACACGTGGCTGCTTTGGTTTGAAGAACTTTGGGTGGGTGCCTTGCTCTGTAGACAGCTTCTCCACAAATGAACGGTCTGTCGCCCGAGGGAACCAACACTCTTCATCCAGCAGGGCCAGAACACCGGGTGGGTGAGCCTGACAAAGAAGGGGGAAAAACAACAAAATTTATTGTGAATGAAAAGTTGATTTCCCAATCAATGTTTCAATCTGGGGTTTTGTTTTCATGTACCGGTCTCTCGATGAGGTCAATGCAGGGCTGTAGGTCTAGGCCAAAGTCAATGAAGTTCCACTCAATGCCCTCCCGCTGGTACTCCTCCTGCTCCAGGATGAACATGGTGTGGTTGAAGAGCTGCTGCAGCTTCTCGTTGGTGAAGTTAATGCACAGCTGCTCAAAGGAGTTTAGCTGCAGGGTTCAAGGAAAGCAAACAAAGGTTCAATCATTCAAGTCATGTAAACTATGAAAAGGCACACTCACATGTCTCATACTTGTGAGGACATTCCACGGAGGACTTCTACTATTCCTGAACATACCTGGAAGATCTCAAATCCAGCAATATCCAGGATCCCTATGAAGGAGGCTCCCTGTCTCTGTCTGCGGTCCAGAGCTCTGTTGACCCTGTGCACCAGCCATCTGAACAGACGCTCATACGAGGCCTTCGCCAGGGCCTCTACAGCAAAGTCAGCCTAAAAGAAGAAACACCAGTTTCCCATGAATTACCTAGAAAGTGGCAGCTCTCCTTTTATTCTCCCTCTCTGGCACAAATACATGAACCTGTCTTTCATATCTGAACTGGCCATCAGTAGCACCGGTAATAAACACCTATACTAATAAAATCATACCTGTTCTTTTGTCTGGGCCTTCTGCACATATTCTCGGCCAACTTTGATCCTAGGCGTGAGGATGGCACGAGTGAACTCTAGCACGTTGATGCCCAGCAGGTGGCACAGTTTCTGAGCAGCTGTGTTATCAGGCATGGAGGCCTGGTCATGGTTCTTCTCCTTCATGAAGCTAATATTCCCAAACTGGAGCACAGAGGAGATCACCTTCAGCATGGCTATGAAGAGGTCAGACAGAGAGAGAGAATGTGAATGATAGCAAGGCTGAAATATGCAATAAGCTAATTATTCTCTCTCTTTTTCCCCCTCTTCTGTCATCTGCTCTCTTACATATGGACTCTTCTGGGGTGAAGCCCATTATGGCCATAGAGTCCATGGTCTGAGTGAAGTTGTCTGAATCGCTCTGCCCTGGAACTGGGATGGAACCTCCACTGAGAAAGCGGTACTCATCAGCAGTTCCTAAGAGCAGGTCCGCTAAGGTAGAAAGGACACAAGACAGAGATTTAAGTAAAAATGGACTGTGGTAAATTACTTGACCACTGTTTCTATAGCACCAAACCACACTTGTTTGTTTTTTTTGCTCACCTCTGGTTTCTGTTGAAGCTCCACACAACATCTGATAAAAGATGTGGAATGTCCGTTCATCTTTGGCCTGACGAGTGGCCCGAGACTTTTCAAGGAGGTCTAGATTTATAAGTCATGGGCAAATGTACCAACAAGAATAGCATAGCAGTGCAGTTTATTATAAATACAGTAAAAACTAATGTGTATTTTACTTTTTGAGATTATGATATAAACCTTCAACTAAACAATCAATTCACATATTTCACAAATCAATGTACTGATCTGTGAAAAGACATGTTAAAGGATACAGGTTTCAATGTTGGCACCAACAATGTACCCCGCCACATCAAAGTTAATGCGGATGAATTTACCCTGAAGAAGGGAGAAGTGGTTTTATGTTTCAGTTTAATTTGATCATAAATATTACAACATACAACACTGTAATAAGTTATTAAAGGAGCAAAGGACAAATGAATAAATCTGAACAGGTCTTACAAATCTAGAAGAGTTATCGTTCTTGACAGTCTTCGCATTGCCGAAGGCCTCCAGTATGGGGTTGGCCTGCAGCAGTTGTCTCTCCAGCTCACCCTGAGACACACGGAAGACATCAGATCAGCCTCACAACACTAAACATAGACACAGATACCACAAGAAACCACTTCCATAGGGGCTATCCACTAAAATGCACCATTAAAGCCTGCTGTCTTTGGACCAACCATTGATCTGTTATGTAAAATAAAAAAATGCATGACTCATTGTTGAAGAGCAGTGACACAAACTGGTGCATTTTAGGGCCTAAAATAGCATCCGCAACACACTCAACTGCCAGAACCAGGAACAAATGATTCTCAACGTCAGTAAGAGTAATGGGCCCTCATTAAGTTTAGCAATCAATAATAAGGGCATCAATCAGGTTTAACTTATTAAAATTTAAACTCTTTATTAAAAGGCGATCTCCAGAAGCCAACTAATATGAGTCAGTTGAGAACCACTGTTGCAGAGCGATGAAGGAAGCTGCAGCTTTAGGTGCTAACGTCATACACAAGCTACGTGTCGACTGATCCCAGCTAGCTGCAATGCATTACTGCAGTTGACTCATTACCAGTGCAGCAGCCGTCTATACAGCAGTTGCAACAGCCGCAGCCACTGATGGGTACCAAGGGAGTTACTGTTGCTACAGGAGTTATATTGTAAAAACTGGCAAGAAATGTTAGCCAGCCAACACTAAAAGCAGACATACACAGGCACACACAGAGCAGGAGGTTGGCAGTTTTTACAGTGATGAGGCACAGCAGACAATGTGTACATTGCACACATTGAGAAAAACGCGCAGTTAAGTGTGTCCACGTTTGAACTCGCAACACACGCATATGAGGACAACTGCAACAACACAGCCACACCCGCTCCCAAACACGAGTCTGCTATCATTCAGCTGCATTCACACAGAGCCACCTTTACAGCAGACGTGTGTCCGTGTTTGACAAATACCTGAGGAAGTCACTGCGAATGGAAAACTAAACCTAGGTCCATAGGGTGAAACCAGGAGAATAAAACAGACCAAAACTAGAGACCCCAAACCCAAGCTTTCTTCAGTTAAAAGCAATATGAGCTTGAGATATGATTCTCTTGACACAACAAGATGAATCATATCCATTTTAGCAGAATGTTTAACTTCTACAATATTTGATCCCAAATAGATAAAAACCACAAGTTGTCTAAATACGTCCATACTCACATATTGTAAACTCTGATGAATTGTGGGGGAGGGGAAATGAAGTTTCAGGGGGGAGGAGAGTGGGTGGATGGTTAAACATATGAATGGGATAAACAAACAAAAAAAGACAAATAAGATAACAACAACAAACAAAGGAATACAGAAAGCAAAACCAGATACACTTCACAGTACAAGGCTCGACTGGTATGTGGAGCAACTTCAGTGGGGACAGTAGGTGTGAGGTTTCTCTGCTGGGTTAGTCAGAGTCACTGTGACGTCCATTCAGGAGAAAAAAAGGAGCAGAGAAAAGCAAAGGGAAGGACAGAGGAAACTCACCCTGTTCACCATAGAACTGCCTCTTGTTAAGGACCTAGAACCATCCATCTGAACATGCAGGAAGGAGAAAAGAACAATGCAGAGAGAAGAGAATGAGGGGAGACAAGTGCTGGAAGGAAGGAAGGTTGGTTAGGAATATAGCTGAGAAAAGAAATAGATCTGACGGAGAAAATCCAAACCATGGTGAGATACGACAGAACTCACAGCAGGAAAACACATGTACTAAATATATAATCATTAAGTAAATAAAAAGAGAAAAAGAAGGGATGCTGGTTCAGTGATGAGTGATTCAGTTAGGGAAGAAACAGTGGATTTCAGAGAGCAGCTACTTTAAAGTAGGTTAGATTAGGTTAAAGGAACATTTTTATCAGAAACATGCATCTTCTTCTCTTTCTTCTGAGACATATATGAGAAGATTGCTACCCCTCTTTTGTCTGTGCTTTAAGTAAAGAGATGGATACGAGATGCATGAGACGGATCCCGTGACAGAAAGCAAATAATCATAATTCTAAAATGTTTGACCTTTTCTTTAACGGTGATTTCATTAAAAATTCTGGCTTTGTTGTGGTTTCAGCGTTGACAAGCTAAAACAACTGCAACTGGATGCGATTCATTTACACAATATCCACAGGGTTGACATGCAGCTTTCTAACCATTGTTACATGAACTAGTGATTTACTAATTTAATATTCTCTTATGTGTTCATTAAATTGTGTCTCCTCTGCTTGCTATCTGCTTAACTTCCTGCAGTCTCCAATTATACATTCCTTTTTCCTCTCTCATCTCTGTCCCACCTTCTTCACCTTATCCATCTTTCCTGTTATTTCCCTCCTTTTATTATTAATTATTAAATTAACCCTAAAAGGCCATTCTTTTCTTAATGCTTCATTTTTCCAGCTGCGGTGAGTTGTGAGTCTCTACTATGACATACCTGCATTGCTTCCTTATTCCTTCCAAGAGTGCCACCCTTGTGGGAGGAGGCAACATGAGCCAAATACTGGATGACTTTCTTCGTGTTCTCTGTTTTCCCAGCTCCGGATTCGCCTCTGGAACATACACATACATATATAACCAAGGGAGGAACACGTGTACACAATGAATACCATTCTCTTAAGAAATTGGTCCTTCCTAAACACACATGACCCAAAATATAAATGGTGTACGTAAGCATTTTTGAGAGAGGGAACACACAGGAACAGTGTCCAAACATACACACATCACACCAATAAACTCGGAGCCCATGCAGTGCATTCAAAGCCACAGATATAAATAGCAAGCAGGTGCTGAGGATACGGGCTGTGTCAGTATTGTTGCTCTTGGAGAAGAATGAAGAGAATGGATCAAAAATAGCAGCAGTAAAAGACAACTCGTCCCAAATACTCTGATGCAAGATGAACCCAAATTGGCATTCTTGACAATGGCAGGAAGAGTCTGGCAGGAAAGCAAAATGTCACTGAGATGGAGGTCCTGCCATCTCAGTGACATTTTGCTAGCATTTTGCAAGCAAACAGGTAGACAGACAAATGATGAGTTAAGGCAGACAGGAGGAGCATGTGTTCATTTTACAGGCCTTAAAGCTCAATTCTGATTTTCTGCTCTGAACTGAACTTAATTTTTGGAATTCAGGCTAAATTGTACCACAATTTGCATATCCCACAAGTATGAATATATGCAACAAATTATATCTATAATTCCAAATAATGCATTAAAGCTACTAGAGCTGAGGTACAAAAAAGGCAGTGCTACAGTTGTTTTAGCAGCTACATAGATGTGTATGAGAGCAGTAGAGGAGTCAGCACAGAGGAGTGTTTACCATTTAAATTCTGTATTAGTGTAATTAGTGTGGGTCACATTGCTAAGAGGCTGATTTGCATCATATCTTAAAGCACTCATGAAAATCAGCCCAGAAGTTATTTGAAAATATCCAGCTTTTGTGGCGTTGCATTGCCTGATACACACACATACACACACTATGTATTGTTATTAAAATGTCCTTGGTCAAAATGTCCCTTGGTAATCCCTCTTTGTCTGTTCCTATTAACACCACCAAAAATTACATTAGATCTATGTAAAATTAATTCATAGAAAATCTTTTTTTGGTCCATATTTGCTTGAAAACTGAATATATTACAGTTACATACAGGAAGTAAAGCATAACATAAAACACATCAATGCACATACACAATACACAGAGTTAGACACCTAGTGTGACCCCTACAGAGATTTTCCCTCATGGCAAATTACAAAAAAGAACAAACCCACATAACCCACACTGGTGACCAAGTGCATGTTACTCACGTGCAGAGGATCGACTGATCTTCTCTGTCTGTGAAAGAAAGAAATAACATTTGAATTCAGACTATATGAGTGAAATTAAATTGTGTCACTTCCCACAATGTAGCATAAGTACTCAATCAACAACAGATTAAATACAATTAAAATTAAATCTCCCAACTACCTATGAATGACATACGGATAGATAGAAAGATGGATCAAAGTTTGTACATGATGACATATGATTCACACACTGTAAGGTACTATATGGGAGAGAGGCCATTGGTTAGCTCATGTTACACTAAGTATCCACCCACATCAACCAGGCATGAAGTGTGCTGGAAACTTTTGTCAGGCCTCACACCTCACGTTTTGATGTCTAATACATTATATGAATGCAGCAGTGGAGTCACACTAGCCCTTATTTGTGACTGTCTCACTCCTTTTCCTAAAAGGCAATGCAGAGAGAAGCAAGTCACCAGCTGAACCTGTCTCTCCAGGCTGCCAGAACACACAGAACGCTGAGTAGTCAGTGGGTGGACTTTGTCTGCTTTTAAGATTCCCATGCGTTTCTTCTGGAAGATTTCATACTGGTCCTACAGGTTCACTCACTTAGGTAACACACCTGCAAACCATGCGGGGGGGGGGGCATATGTCCTGTCGTGTTATCTCAGGAAGACACCCTGAGGCAGAGGCATTGCTCAATAAACCCTTGACTTAAATGGTTGCTGGGAATTCTCTGTGTCATTTAATTAAGTGTTAACGTGACAGGTAGGGCCAAAAAAATCCCTGTCCTGCATTGTTGTTATGAGTATAATATGTGGTCATTATCATTACTATAACAAATATTCAATGACATAAGTAAAAGGAGTGCCACACCTAGAAGTCTCTGTTGCAAAAAACATTGTCATAGCTATTATTTTTTTCTGATAAAAGCCATGGAACCTACCACACCTTCAAATTCATGGTGTGGCTCAACACCACATTCCATGACCAGCTGTGCTGATAGCAGATGTCCGCATGGGTTCACTATGGTGTCAAAGTTAATAAAGGGTCAGAGGTCACAGATAGTGGTGAGTACCTTGTAGCATGCTACGATAGGCGGCCTCTGATATGGCATAGATGTGCGGGGGCATCTCGTGGCGCTTTTTGCCGCGGTACATCTCCACGATGGATTCTGTGTATACGGGCAGGTTCTTGTAAGGGTTCACCACCACGCAGAACAATCCTGAATATGTCTGAAGAAACACACAGGACAGAGATTAGAGAACTATAGTGATATCAAGCCCTAAACATGGGTCTCTTTTTTTCTGGAATCCACACATTATGCAGGTTGGCACACTTCTCCCTGACTAGTTATTGTGGCACAGGTAAACAGAACACCTTACGCAAACATTCACGGCTAAGCTAACGATCATGTGGAAATTGTAAGTAGGATTAAATTCTGTTCAGCAAAAAGAACAGTCAAACATTGTCAAAGGAGAATTAAAAGATTTCAATTTCAAACATTAAAACGACACACTGACTACACACATATGTAACATACAAAACAAATGCCCACAATCACAATAAAAAGTCATCACCCATTCATAAAATACACATTTCATATATAAAAACTAGACTTGTCATAAGTGTAAGTTTTACTCATGTTTGATTTGTGTATAAAGAACAATCATTACTCATGTAAAGCCAGCTGATGATTACACTGTGGCCAGCCACACCCAGACATTACTATTCTAGTAATTCTTCTTCAACTATAGTGAGAGTCATGACTTATAGAGCCACTTTATCTTATCTCATAATGTAACACACCCCTCTGAGCTATTCCAACAATCCATCTCTGCTCCACACTGCCCATCTCTTAACCTTTCCTCTCAGCAACAGCATTCAAAAGGTAAATGCATTAATTTCATCATATAATTTATATTATTCTACAATAGCCTTATTGGCTATACATGTGTTTATCTCATCCAACTCATATCTCCTCTTCTGTACCCTTTTCGTCCCTTCTGCAACAGAAACCAGAGACGCCACCACACACTCAAGAGCAACTTTGTAAGCTGACTCTGCACCACTCTTACCGCCCCGTATCAGTTACACAGGGAATGCCAGAGGAGCTGACCGCTAACACATGCATGCACACAACATCACATACTATATGTGGGCACAGACTGTTTTAATGTGTTCATGCATGTAGGGTGTATAGTTGTACTAGTGTGAGATATATCTTAGCTTTAAGCTGTGAATGCATTCATCCTTTCATGCAATCACTGTTTCGTGCACTCACATAGATCAAACCAGAATAGTATCTCTCTCTGAGGTTGTGCAGCACTGAGGCTTCATTGAGGCAGGTGAGGTCGGCCATGTCCTCCACTTTACTAAAGCGAGGAGGGTTCATCCGCTGCACCTCCTCCCTAGACAGAGTCAACTTCCGCTGGCTATCTGTGAGCTCAACCTCCACCTCGTCGCCGCGCTCCTCCCGAATACTGGCCGACTGTGATGAAAAACAGAAACAGAGGTTTAGCAAAGAAAGTATTGGAGATAAAGGAAGAGTAAAAAAAAAAAAAAACTTGTCATCATGTCTCCATTTATTAATATTTGAAATCGGATCACAACAATATATAAAAATCAATCTCTTGAAATAAATCATGTAAAATGTACCATTTTGAAATGCATTAAAAATATTGTTTGGTGGCTTTTAATCCTCCAAGGAGTCATGAATCGTGCTCATAATAAAACTAACTCTGACTAAAAAGAATACACACTAAACTCTTTCACATTACAAGTCACAAGCAAGTTTCAATATCCTGAACTTTTCATTCTACACAAAAGAATAGTAAAATTGTAGATGCTTGCATTTAACACATTAAACAAACTCTGGTCTGATGCTTTAACTCAACAGTTAACCAGCTTGCATGTGTTTCAAATGAAAGATTGAAACTATGTTGGTGATTATAGTTTTGCAGAATCTCTGCCAGTGAGCTTTAAAGCATGAGTGTCTTCAACAACAGACAGAGACGGATGGTGACAGAAAATAGAAGAAAAGACCCTCTTTGTCATGCTGTTGGTCTTGTGCTTGTTGGACAGGAAGTAGTAAATTCAGGGTCTGACCAGGTCACAGGACTCTGATTTGCCACTTTATTGTCTCTGCTACTTGACATGCACACCACACAAAATACTGTATGTGTGTTTGTGGGTGTATATTAGTCACAGATTGAACACAACACTCTCAGAATATAAAACTGGATGAGAGCCTGTGTGTCTTTGTGTGTATATAGTGCACGAATGTGTGTTTGGTCTGTGTGTATGTTTTTATCCACCAGTGCCATTCTCAGATCATGAGTGTAAAATGAAGTCAGTGTCTCTGCAACGGCCTCTTTAACATTAGGAGGCTGAAGGAGAGTATTGTTCTATTCATAGAGCTCGCTATGAAACCAGTCCAGCAGAGAGAGGGAGGCTTGGAGATATGACATCAAATTCACATGTCACATCCTACAGTTTGAACCAATGAGAACTTGAAATGTTCATTATGCAAGTATTTAGACACAGTGGAACTAAATATTATGATAATAGCCTTGTGATAGTCATTATACTAAATGTGTTAGAGAGCTACACAGATGAAATAAAAAAAATCTAACAGGAAGATGGAAAGCATACAAAAGTATTGGACATCATCATGGGGATAACAGAAATCCTAAATATGATACATGAACAGATGCAGGATTGCCCCACCTGTTTGACACACCTGCAGACGAAGGCACAAACTTGGGGCTAATAACTTACCTGAGGGTTAATATTCACATAGTGAGAAAAAAAAATGAAAACAAGCACATTTAACCCTGAATGTCAACATCCACTAGATGTTGGTGCTTCTGAAGCCAAAATGTCACACATTTCTCGTCGAGTGGAAAACACCAACTTACCTCAAACCCATGCTTCTCTGATGGCACCCACACCAGCCTCTTGGCTGCCCAGTCGGCCTGGCTGGCAGCAGAGAACATGGAGTTGGAGGTGGGAGACCCTGGCGCCAGCGCCGTCCCCGATGACAGAAAGCGGGTGACATCGTTGACAGCGACACCACCCCCCGTTGACCTGGACATGGTACTACTGGCACTAGATGAGAAAAGAAGTGAGACAAAAAAGAGGAACAATAAAAAGTTATTCTGTGTTGAGATGTTTCTCCTCTCTTGTTGAGGGCTGAAAACTGGAGCGTCATGGTGTAAAGGACTGTCAGACAGTGACACTGATGTGTCTCTGCGTTAACACATTACACACACACACTCATCAAGGGCACCCACTCTCACATAGGAAGGGCAGTACTAGCACGCAAGTAGCATGCAGGCCATACCCAGCTGAGGTCGGGCCAGGGATGGCCTAATTGAAAGACACATCAAATCAAGGAGAAGACAGGGATGGAAGAAAGGCAGAGAGAGAGGAGTGGAGAGATGGAGGGCTGGAGGAACAGGGAGACACATCAATCGACTGAGTAAACTGACATGACAGAGAGAGGGGGAGGGATGGTGAGGGAGGAGGAAAAGGGTGGGCCAGCAGTGAGGAGGAAGGATGAGACTGGACTTAAATCTAGGGTTAACTGAAAGAAACTGAAGCATCCTTCTACTACAGACCTCACCAGAGAAAAAAACTCTCTGCTAAGAACCAACCGAGCTAAAATGCTGATTTGCCTCAGGGGCAGATGTGATAGGATCATGTGAGAGAGGAGGTGGCTGTAGATAGAAGTAGTAACTACCCTGAAACATGAAGCAATCTCCAGTCAGGGTGACTGTAAAACTATAAAAGGGTGATTGAAGATCTGCTCTGACAACTAAGAAATTGTGCACAGCAGCAATTCTGTGAGAAAGTTCAATTAATGGAGACAGAGAACTCATGACTAGAAAACTTTCCACCAAAGGCAGTAGGGACTTTGTTTTTATATGGAGTTTATGGAATAGCTGCTACTGCCCCTTTAACAGTGCTGATGTCTGGTACATACATGGTGTCAGGATAGTAGATAATGACCCACTGAATGTTATGCAGGGTTAAATGGGATGGATTCCTGCATTTACCACACTTGATGTTGAAGGTAGTTTCTGAAGCCATGAGATCTAAACCCCTAAATTTCATGTGGCAACTTTATCTAAATTTTTGACTGAACAAATCCTTGTAAATATTCATTACTGGGACCCTAAATTAAAACAGCATGCACACATTGTAGGAAAGGTAATTTATTCATTTGCACAGGATGAAAGAAACTTAAGTTCCAGCTGAAGTCCGATTTGATCAGACAGCTTTTGTGCCGCCTTGTATGGAGCGTGCTTGTTAGGCGTTAGGCGTCTCCATGCCTCAGCAGGTATGTCATCAGTCCTGATTCTTGCTATGCACCTCAGTCTCAGTTTTTCCCTCTTTGTCTGTTCATGACAGGGCCTGGTCCCCAGCCCTGCCGTTACCATACCTGTTACTGCAACATGACTGTGGGTGTGGAGCCGACATGTTGACAAAAGAAGCCGCCACCACCCAGCCACTCAGTATGGAAAATATGTAATCCCTAAAAGTGTTTCAACATTTTCACTATCGTTTTCTTGCTAATCCAATGGATAGACTAAAACAGAAGTCCCACTATTCCCTACCTTGTCTGTGGTGTTGAGCCACACCTTTCTTGAAGACATAAATAATGAAAAACAGGTCACAGATATTAATTTTCGACCAATAGTTTCCTCAAAAAGCTGAAGCTTTTAGATTAAGAATGCTTCTTGAAAAACAAGTAAGTGGAAGAGTAGTGGAGGTAGTGCATTTGTTTGAGAATATTGTTGCTGCAGACTCATTTGCTGCTCTGGTGAGTATTTACTGTACCACACAAGTAAAGTAGATGGAGGACATGAGAATAATTGACTATGCTCATGGTAACGAAGAAACAACATCTATGGCTCATAGATGTTTGTAATTTTGGACAACAGTGAAGATCACAGAGAATTAAGCTTTCTCAGGCTTGGACGACCACATAGACAGTACTTGTATGATTAATACTTTTCTTATGGAATGGAATTTGATGTTAGCGATTATTATCAGCCTCGTCCTGTCATAGTCATAGATCATGACCAACTAGATTCCTTTGTCTCCGTGCATCTCAGAACTGCTTCTATATCATCTTTACCAATGATCTGGAGGATGAATTGGATCATCAACCATATAGAGATGCATTGTATGATGCTGCTGAGTGCTGATGAATCCCCTGAAGCAAATCACACACACACACAGACCGCACAGGTTGTCGCAGTACAGCCTGGACTGACCAGCAGCAAACTCACTCCTCCTGCAGCAGCTGGAGTTGCCAAAAATCTGACCGCTCTCCTCCATAGCAACACCCTGAGCACTGAGCACTGAGCAGGCGCCCTCAGACAATACCTCCTGAGTTTGAACTGAGGTCATCCACTGCAGGGGGTCCTGAGCTGCAGGCCTGCGTGAGTGTGTGCGTGTGCGAATGAGTGGGTGTAATTAAATATTAATTAATTAATGTGTGAGGTGTCTGCGCGTGATTGTGAGTGTGTGAAATGGGTAGGGGGGAGATGGAAACGCCTTTTTTTTTTTCTCCACCTCAGCTCTGATGTGAGGTGCCATTGCACCGGTATGATGATGATGATGATGAAGATGATGAAGATGAGGAGGAGGAGGATACTGTGGCTTCATCACACTGTGGAGAGGGGGACATTATAAAGCCCCTGGCTGTGATCATTACAGCGGCAGCAGATCAGTGCAGCTGCGGTGTGACCCTTTAAAAAGCACCTGCATTTAGATCCTGAAGCTCCAGCGACAAAAACTGACGAGACCCAACCACACCTTGAACACAGGGACAATCACATAGGGGCTCCAGCCTGTGGTTGACTGTGAACCGCCTGCATGTGGCAGCCACAAGACCCAGACATTTCCCCTGAAATAACAGCTAGCTCCTATAATAATGATGGTAATGAGGGTACGATATCACACAAAGCTCACATTAAGCCTACGCTTTATAATTATATCCGTCGAAATCTTTTCTGCTGTGGCCTCTGGACATTTTCCTCGCTCGGACCTCGGGTCATGTCGATGTAAGCCTCTGCTCGAAGGCGTTCGCACACACCGAGCCTGTAAACCAGTCCCACCAGCGTATCTCTTTCAGGCGCAGACAGACTGAACCCAGCGAGGTTAGCCAGCTCCACTGAAACACGACACGTTCAGGATATCACCGACTATTACCCAGCTGGATTAAGGGGTAAAGGCAATTAAATGTCTCACCTTCAGGTTCCGCTCGGAGTCGTGGGTGAGGCTGCGGTGCGGGCAGAACCAGGACGCGGCTGCTTCTCGGGTATATTCCTGCCTGGTAGGTGTGTGGGATACCGCATATGCGGCTCTTATCATCGCAGCGCTCTCCCAGCGAAGCCGCACACACTGAGAATAAAACAGAGAGCAGTGGGGGCACGGCGGCGGCTTCAGCCCCGGAGCTGGGCTTCCTGCCAGCGGGCCAACCAGGTAGCAGACACGGCTCTTATTCCCGCCTTAGAGAGAAAAGCGTCCAATCAAACTCTACAACTGAGCAGTAGACCCGCCTCGTGAATGCGACGAGAGGCTTCCGCCCACAAATGGGCACGAAACCGCTGCGGTGACCAATGGCGTCAACAGGAACGCAACATTCTCTACGATAAGCCAATGGTAGAGAAGGAGAGGCGGGGCAAGGTTTCACTGACGCGTCGAACAGCCAATAGGATAGCTGCAGCAGGTGGCTGTGCGGCAGTCTCGCGCTAGAGGGAGGAAGTTTGCGCGCCCTTTGTTTACCACGCTGAGGCGGAGAGCGTCCGCAGACACTGATCTGAGATCGGACTGACTCGGGTCTCCGTCCGAACACAAACGAGGCTCACTTGAACCGATCTGACTCCAGGCGCGTGATTCAGATCACCCACGAAATCCCACTGAGCCCGAGCTCCCCTGGTACCAGCGTTCACCGAATGTCCCAGGAGTCACAGCTACAATGATGAAATGCTTACATAGGCTATATACAGAGAATATACATACACACATCAAATAGATGAATGTAGCAGTTAAAATAGAGTGAACCCTTTCTGCTCAACAAATAGAAAGTAAGTGGACCTTAACTTAAATGCTCATTTTTGTCACATAACACTTCACCTTTACAGTCCCACCTCTGTAAATGTGGTTATACTCATACTACAGTCATCTTCAGCTTCATAGTAGGAATTACATGAATAGGCCTTTTCCTCAGCTTAAGTTTAAATGACCATTTACTGCCTGAGCTACATCATCTCTGCCATAGAAAGTTGCTTCATTTGATATAAACAAGTACATTTTTGGGAAACTTGCTTTTTTTTTTGAATACTCAATTCTTTCAGCATAAGATGTTTTATGTACATCAGAAGGTTTTCATATTGGATCTGAGAACATACAGATTTGTTTAGTATAGGTCGAGAGACCCTTACACACCAGCAACAAGATTTACTCATTTGTTTTGCATCAAGAGAGCTACAATGAGACTGAATAAAGAATCAACATATAATTGCAATCCATTCCCCATTTTATTTCTTCTACAACAGTTCAATTTCACTTGGAAGTGCTCTGTGCTTGTGGCAGCTCTGAAATTACATTTCTACATTGTAGCAGAGGTTTTCCATAAAAAAAAAAAAAAGCCAAGGAAAAGTGGCTACAGGTTTTCTTATTTTCATCTCAGTAATTTATTTAAAATATCTGTAGAATAACCATTTAATATGAGTAGTGAAATTAAAAAATGATCTGACTGTTGGGAGCATTTAAAAAGGAACTTGAAATGATGGTGCTTTAAGCTCAAGTTACATTTCACTGAAGTGGAGACAGGGTGAATCTCATGACCCACTGTGCAGCCTAATAATAGAACATAGTGGCCATGAAGGAGAAGTGGAAGCAATGACACAAACACAGAACAGCAGTGACATTAATTGTAACAGATAATATGTCGTCTATGCCTCAACCCCCTGAGCTTATCGCAGAACATCTTTTGAATAACTCCAATAAAATACTGCGACTGATGCATTGAGACCAACCTGTGCTGCTGTATTTTTATCAGTGATATTAGTCTCTGTAGATTACTTAATGGCAAAGTACAAAGAACAGCTTCCCATGTTGTGCTTTCGACTTAATATCACGGTGCATTCCTGACATGCCTTCCTTCTTTTACCAACACGTCAAATACTCAGGTAGCATAATGTACTGTAACTTATTACAGGAAGAAGATCCCAGGTGCTTTGTTATATACGTACAATGTGCAACTATAACAGTCTACCTTATATAGCTTATATAGATAAAAGCATCTATCTGTTATCAGTGCATGGTAATATACTCCTCAGTCACTGAGCAGATTCACAGTAATTATTTGCAGAGATGTTTTGTCAACAGAGAACAATATACTGCAAATATTAAGGTGAAAAAAACACTCTTGCATAAAAACACATGATGAATACAATAAAAATAACCTCAACGATGAAGGGCCAGTTGCCAAATCTGTGGTCTGTTATGAAGGCACCACCCACAACACTGTTCTCACATTTTGTAAGAGAGACCAACATTAACCCATTAGAATTAAGAGGGTGTCACAGGATTTTATGGACATGAAAATACAGAACACTTTTTCTATGAATGTCATCTATATTTTTCAGTTCAGTCTTCATCGGTTTGTATAGAAGGTAGACAGCTGTTTAACTCTGAGATGTAGAATTCCAGCCATCCTTCACCATAACACCTCATGCACTCAGTTTAACTTGTTCTAGTGATGCTGGAGGTGCATGCAGGCCTCCGGTGTGTTCTTAGTCAATGAGAGTCAATTCCTTTTGCCTTGGATTCAGTCCAAAACATCAAAAGGTCCTCCAAGAGCCAAGAAACTTAAAAGATTATAAAGTCAGAGCGCAGTCAAGAATTACAAGAATCAAAAGTAACAGAGCAAAACATCACAGTGTGGTTGATTTGAGCGACAGAGAACATGAATATATACTGTAGTTAGTAGTGCAAGAAAGAAAGTGATTTACTGGTCTGGATACAGCCAACATCATGGCCAACACGGCCAACACCAATAAAAATGGCAGAATAAATAAAGATTAAATGATTCAAACGTTACAATCAATGAACCTGGCAATAGAAAAAAGCCAAAAAAACAAACAACATACAGAACATTACATGGGAAAGAAACTGCTCAAAGCCGCTGCTAGATTTCAGCTGTTTCTCCATGTTACTGTTGATCACTTTGGCTCTACAAGTAAATTAGCCACCACCTGAATTGTCAACACCCACCGGGGGTCAAGTATCATAAAATGTGCACTATTCATACTTACCATAAGAAGATAAAACCCTAAAGTGATAAGTCAGCATCATCGTGGAATACATTCCTGAGTAGTTAGTACACTACCATGTGTTTCTTACAGAAGCCATCTGAAATAGGTCAGAATTTTCTCCAGGATCACAAAACAATTGAGGTGCTGCTGCGGGTTAGAGCCACCATGTGGTGCTGTTGCATACCCTGACAGTCCGGCATTAGAGCCAGATGAGTGTGCTGTGGTAGCGATGGGCCAGATGTGAGACTTAGCAGACAAGTTTTGATGATTATGAAAGATTGCCAGGGCCAATCAGACAACTAGGTCAGTGTAGTTACTCACCTCCCCAATGGACTGACCCCAAACCTGACACTCGCTCTCTCTATCCATCCATTTCCTTTCTGTTTCTTTGAAACATCTAATCTGTATAATACTCATCTAAATCTGGCAAACTTCTAATGGATCTTTTAATCTGCTCCAATACTAGACTTTCTTTCCAGTCTAATCACTGAATCACCTTTCTCTCTTGGTTTGCTCATTCCTTCCTGTCTAAGCCTCTCTCTTTTTGCCTTAACATCCTCTATACTCCTGGGTCAACCCCCTACGTCTTTTCCCTTGAGGCCATCTAGGTTCAGTTGTAGTGGAGATGTTCTGCCAGGGATGGCCTTCGGGTGGGTGGAGGGGGACACTCAGGGTCTCGGTCAGGCTCATCATCAGGGGAGGCAAGTTGCAGAGCCACTTCATTCTCATAGCAGAATGAGGAGCGTGAGCTTCGGATGTATTTTTCCTCAGCCAGCTCTTTAGCGCTACATGAAGGTGTGTTAGGGATTTCATATGTCCGGTGGAAGAAAGAATAATCCACCTGAAAAAAAAGGCAGAACACAATAATTTTTCAGTAGTGTGTATGAGGATGGACAACATGTCACATGACAGCTCCCAAAAGTTAAGCCAAATCATATTGATAGTTTGGGTCATAACCCATAACCCCTCCATGTTAGCAGATAGGATATGGACCAAACTAAAATATCAATGTGCACCTTAAATAACTTTTTCTTAAAGACAGTTCTGTTATTTTAGGTAGTTGTTGTCACACTGATGTATGTAGTGCCCATCTCGTAAGTTTGGTTTTGATTAGTTATTTGATGTTAAAAGAATGGCAACACCCATATCCTGGATATTTTAGATCCATTTTTGTCCAATGGGAAGTCTATGGTTTGCAAGGGTGGCAAGTGGTGCTTTGAGCTAAATGCTAACATTACCCTGCTCACATGATTACAATGACAATGCTAATAGATAGCTAGATAAATGCTAGCAGATTTAAGGGAAAGATCCATATTCCTTCCTGACCTGGTAGCAGTCTTTCCTCTCAAAGAGCACTGGTTCAAAGCGGTGTCCCCAGAGGATTTCGGAGGCCAGGTAGGAGCTTCGGCACTGTGTGGTCATGGCTGTTGCCTCCACCATTCCCTCGAGTATGACAACAACCTCCAATTCAGAGTCACTCTCCAGTGTTTTTCGGTCCATCTCAAAGAAGGGAGACTCGTCATTGATCTCATGGACTATTGTGACAGGCGAGACCAAGAAGATGCGGTCAGTACCAGTGTCAAAACCCACGTTGATGTCCACATTGTCCAGTGGCAGAAACTCTCCCTCTGGCGTAACCCTTGCCTGGGAACAGGTTGGGTATAAAAAGTAAAAATAAGTCATTATTAGGATATTTAAAACTTTCCACATTAGATTGATTGATTTTTCACATGTGGTAAAATATGAAATGGATACCAGAAATGATTTCCAATATGAAACAAACAAAAGATAAAGGCATGGCATGGTCAAATATAATGAAGCTGTAATTCTGGCTATAAAGTAGAACAAAATAGTATAGGAACCTTGAAAGCTATATATTGTATATGAATTTTTTTAATACACATAACATTTCCTCTGATCATCTGGAAAAACAGCTTTGAAAATTAAAGTTCTTACCCTGACCTAAAAGCTTAGCATTGGGTTATAATATTCAGCTGAATTTCGTCATACCACCAATGCATAGGCTTATCACTCACCCAACCCTTACAATTTCACAATATCTAGTTCCAGCATTTAGAATTGTATTTCTTTGATCCTTAATCCCATCTGCCCTGTCTGAACTTTGATATGTTTATA